GCTGGTCAAGAAGTAAAAACTGGTCAAGGACATGCTTCAGGATGGTCATTGTAACTTCAAACATGGCCATATGACCATTTACTTTAAGATGATATATAATTGAACATACCTACTTTTTAATGAGATCGTTTTGTTACAGTAGTAAGATTAGTTTAGACAATTTTGCATTTAACTTAGTAGGGCTCATATTAGCATTTTATCAACATTTGTTTATGGGTGGATAGATGAATGAAACATATTGCAAGTTACATTTGAATGGTCATTAAAATTTGAGTGTGCCTTGGCCAGTGCATTGGTCAAGTGGGTACAGGTGCAGTTCCTAATTACATGTACCTAACTACATAATTATATAACCGATCCTATTTGTAGTAAAAATGAAAATAAAGTTGTTTGATCAAAAGTGTGTATATATACTTCCATGTAATATAGTTCTGGTTCTATATGACATTGACATTTTGTAGACATCATTATGAATATTTATTTGCCAGATGAATTGATTTTTGATTGCTGCCAGTTGCTAAAAATGAAGTGTAACTTTCTGTTGTTTTTATGCAATACCATCCTGTTTATGTTTAACATTGCAGACGGTTATTTTAACATTTATACACACACACTGTCAATTCAGGAGAATAATAATATTAATATGAGGAAGTACATGGCAGGATGCGTCACCTAGTGCCCTTATGGCACGTGCAAGTGATATTACTGCCCATTCTCTCCATGTGACACTGACAGGAAGTGCCTCTTCTCAGCTTACTTAGCCATCATGCAAATCATAGCAACATGTCACATGGCATTTAGGGGAATAAAAATCCTTCTTTTTAGTCATGGGACAAAGAAAAGATGTCATTTTTGAATGCTAGTAAATGGTGGGACAATCTGTAAGGTTAGGACATTAATGTATGTTAAAGCAGTATGCTATCAGATCGAAGTCAAGCCAATAACAAATTGGTCTAGTAGACGCCATAGAATGGTACCAGGGTTTGCCTTTGGTAAGTGCAGCTACATGTATATCAGTATATGTTCATGTTGTGTATACACATCTGTGCATTTGGATGTTACCGGTACTGTGATTATTAGTATTATTACTTGTCAGGTGATAATGAATAAATAGTGAAGTACGGATAGTGTCATACATGCAAAATATTCCTCATTTAGTCATTGCTAGATTTTTAACATCAATTTTTAACATCAATTGCCACATTGTGTTTTTGTGTGTGTGCAGTTTTTCTGAGTTTTTCTCAGTGGTATGGCCAATACAATGTATATACATGTAACAGTATGTACATGTTGCAAATCATTTAACTCATCTAGTGACAATAATACCGTGACATAATGATATGTAGTAAATTTGATGTCATTAAGAAAACATATCAAATGCCTTTCTAAAGTGCCTGCTCACTTGGGTGTAAATTATATTATTCTACCGATGTAAATGTAAATCTTCTCCTTATATGGTGATGTAGAAGTGATCTATCTTGTTAAACTCAAAGATAAAAATATCTGTTGTCTCATTTTAACCACCAGTCAATCTATTTTGTTAAACTCAAAGATAAAATATTTGTTGTCTTATCGTAACCACCAGTTGATCTATTTTGTTAAACTCAAAGATAAAAATATCTTTTGTCTCAGATCTTATTATAACCACCAGTTGTGTTTTCTATTTATTTGTTCCACCTTGCCAGGGAGTCGTATCAGTCTGCATCTCTGGTTGAGGCACATGTACATGGGAGGAGGCGACACAATCGTGGACTGGCAGCACCTCAGCGTGGGTTAAACTTACCTGAGGATTCTGTCTTCACACATTTGCTGGTAGGTTTCTAAGCCACTGTTATGTACAGCTGGAGAAAGCCGTGGTCTATCCTATGTCAGTTTTGTTTCATATTCAACCTGTGTACATGTATATCAGTGTCTGACATGAGGAAAGTATCCCCAGTTTCTCAGCCTTGAAACGCTTTGGGATGGAACCATTATATTTACATAGGAAAAGTCACCCATTTAGAAGAAGCAGGTCACGATCTGCACTTTGATGTTTCTCTGTTTTGCCGCAGTGCCATAAGGAGCAAGTAAAGGGAAGTTGCATTTAAAATATCAATCCCGAAATCAATGTTTTTGTTGGCATCTGTTATCTTATACGGGAATCAACGTTGTGTATGAATTGGTAGGATGGATCTTTTCTTAATAAGGTACATAGTGCTATCTAAAGCTGTCTGTAAGACATCAATGATGTCATCATTACAAATTATCTCATCTTTTGGCAGGTACCAGCTAAGTTTTCAAAGAGCAGCCAAGATCTGAAAGAAGTCGTGGTACAATCATGTTTCCACTTCCTCGAAGGTAATTTCCATTTTCTTTCCATTTGATTTTTGCTGTAGTCCCTTTCTTAGTCTATATCAGTATCTGTTCATTCTTATTGGCCAGTTGCAATGTTGTGTAAACAGTCCTTCTACATGTAGATCTCTGAAAAATGCAACTGAAATAATGAAGGTAAAGTTATTGAAAGTACCGTACTACCGGTAGTTCTTTGAAATTGGATAGAAGTCCTTTCAGTTGTGAGCTTGAAAGTTAGCATGGCTTGATGGTGGATAAATCAATTTCCGGCTATACAATGACCATAAAGACATATTTTATCTTCAAGCAGTTTTGTTTTCATCTTTTCCTTCAGTAGAATGAACATGTGTCTTTGACATGTTTGATTGATTGTGAAGTGCCTGCTAACTGAATAACTATATCCTGCACCTGTTTTCTCCGGAAATCTGTATGCAAAGAGTGTTTTTCCATGGAACTCTTCCTCTTCTGCTGTAGCCATGTGAATATCATTGATATCGAGTGTTTTTTTACCATGAAACTTGTTGAAGAGTAATCTTTCTCTTCTGCTGTGGCATTGTGAATATCATTTGTTTTCAGATACAGGGCTATGGGTCTTATTATTATTCTTGGTTTTTGGTAGCCATAACATGTTATGCTTTCAACTATGAAAGTGCTTGCACTCATTTGTATGCTTTTATTGGACTTCGCATTGATTGCCTGTATTTTGAAATGTCTATCTCTGCTAATGGCCTAGGACCGCCCAATCCACCAAACGAACAATGCGAGAAGCCATAGATTCTGAGAACGGCAATTCAGATGGACAACGGGCCAAGAGACAGCTTTTGAGAGCAAAGGCTCCTCCAGAGGAGATCATCCGAGACTGGAGCAACATGCCCTCAGAGATCCTGACTCACATATTTCAGGTATTCAGCATTGATACTAATGATAGGTTTGATAATGATCAAGAGAGATTATTAGGGGTGACATCTTGTGGAATACTTTCCAGGGCAGTCTGCCCCTACCATAGCTACTTGCTGATGACAGAATAACTGAAGTTACAGATGTTAAGATTTGAGAGTTGAAGTGTACAGTGGACTCTAATGAAAACAAAATTTTGGTATAAAGGATTGTTACTTCTTGTTGATTGTGGCTATAGCTAGTAGAGAGATTATTAGGGGTGACATCTTCTGGAATACTTTCCAGGGCAGTCAGTCCCTAACTTAGCTACTTGCTGATAAAACAGTCACTGAATTTACATGATCTTAAAGAATTGAGGGTTAAAGTATACAGTTACAGTAGACTCTAATGTCAACAAAATTTTGGTATAAAAAAAAAGATTGTTATTTCTTGTTGATTGTTAGCTTGGCACCCAGGCTAATTGATTGTGGCTTATACAAGTCATGTAGTTCACAAAACATGTCTATAATAACATACATTAATTACATGTGTAGGACATCTAGAAAGTTTGTTTGAAGCATTCTTTATTTATGAGAAGCTCAAATCGGCATGCAGGATGCTTTTCATTGAGGTCATGAGGCCCAGTGGTATAATGGTTCTAACTGTTATCCTATTTTTCCATCCCCTCAGTTCCTACCCTTATGGGATCGTGCCCGAGCCTCCCTGGTCTGCCGTCTTTGGAACAAAACCTTCCACCTGCCAGAACTGTGGCAGACGTTCACGTTTGAGTTCAACAACCCCAACACGTCCCACTTCAAGTCCACCCCTCCCCAGCTCATCCGACAGGTCCTCAGACGCCACGCACACCACCTACAGTCTGTCAGCTTCAAGGTAGGATACTGTTTTTCCTCTAACAGCGTGCGTACCCCTATTACATTAACATACACATCTGACCAAGGGAGCTGAAACATTCGAGGGGAAAAACCCTACAACATATACATTTCCTAGTTATATAGTCTAGCATTTCATCGGTTGTCAAGTTTCCAAGATAATCATATTATCGGTATCCCCAAATTGATTCTTTTGGAAACTTGCTGTATGTCTTGCATTCTTTTTTAAATTCTAGTATCATGAATTGTACATCCAACCAATCATTCCAAAAACTGCAAACACAAAACATCTCAACGTTATCTAACAATGGATAATTTTCTATAAATTTGACCTGCTGTGAATTTATTACTTTGTGTAGATTCATGTACATACAACATTACCGGGTTTGTTTGGAGCACACTTCTAACTTTCTAACCTGAAAATGAATACAGGCAGCTGGATGACTACCTCAGTAGGTATATTAGAAGTAACTAGAAGACAGTCCCTTAAAAGGACAACAGGGGAGTCCTCAGTCTGCTTGACTGCTCTGACGGATGTGATAAATAAAAATAATTGCCCTATTTATAACATAATGTGCTCATGTGTATGTATCAGGTTGACAGTAACAAGGAGTCAGCGGAAGCTGCCTGTCAGATCCTGTCCCAGCTGGTGAACAGTTCGCTGAAGACGCTGGGACTGATCTCCACGGCCAAGCCCAGCTTCCAGGAGGTCAGCAGAGAGGACTTCGTCACCGCGCTCACCGTCGTCTTTGTCCACTCCAAGGTTTGTCCACTAATCAGGCCATCTTACATCTGATGAAATAGATCATGATGCCTATTAATGCAAGTGGAAGTCTGTCTTTAAAGATACTAGTAGTAGACACTGAATTTCGTGTTTGTGATGAAGAGAAACCCGGACCAGAACTGTTGTCTAATTACCTCCGGGGGAGGAGACATCCTTCCGCGGAAGGGTTTTGTGAGAGATGTAGATTTTCATGTTCGCAGCTTTTTCTCACATTTGGGTGGACGGATTTTTTTGGGACTCGGTGTATGTTTTGCTATTGGGCTAAAGATGATGCACATTCTTTTCTGTTCAATGTATATGTGTCTTCGGGCGTGAAAATGGTGCCTTTTGGTGGTCCCAGAACACCCCTTTGAGCGTGAAAATGGTCGTGACTGTTGACCTTTGGCGTGTTTAAGATATTCTCGGTCTGGTTCACATATATGACCCCTCGCACAGAGGGGTGTCTGGTCTCGATAAATTCTTTGTTTAAAACCCTAGTTCTGCGGCATGCAACAATTGTTGTTGTGCACAAAATTCAACACCATCAACTATACATAACAAACAACATATAAAAATATACAATAAAAAGCCCGGAGGTATAAAATCTCAGATTTTACTTGTTTTGTATGATGTCATATAGATTAAGACTCAGCAAATAGCATATACTCACAACCTACTTGTAAGGAACAATGAATTTCCAAACTAACCACTCATAGAAATAAATTAATCACTGATTTCCATTCTGTGTATGCTGACAACATTGCTGCCATCTGTAGTCCCTGTCACAGCTGAGGGTGGATGACACACCGGTGGATGACCCCTCTCTAGCAGTGATGATCCAGAACAGCAGCGACTCCCTGGAACTTCTCAACATGACCAGCTGCCCACATGTATCTCCTAAAGGTATTTAAGTATTTATTTATTAGTTTGGCTGTTCAGCACGCCCAGCCAGGGCAGCCTACCCCTGAAGGTACTGTAAAAGATTTTCAACATTTGTGATGTGTAAAGTTTTACCTGTAAAATTACATTCATCTATGTTAACACCAGGGTGTTGCCATTGTTATTGATGTGCTGGAATTGTCAGGGTGCTAACAAGGTTTTATGAATTTAGGTATCCTGGCAGTGGCAGACCACTGTCAAAATCTGCGAGAGTTGGCTCTGAACTACACACTACTCAGTGATCAGCTACTTCTCACCTTATCAAGGTATGTCAGTGCAGCAGCACTACACTTTTGAGTGGCCCTTTTTGTGTGAAATTATGGAGGGAAGGTCTAATACAGGATGACATGTGTCTTTTTACTTTCTTTTTTAGGGTGTCAGAATACCTTTTTGTCTGTGCTTTCACCTTGTGTGTGTGTGGGTCTTTTATATATTGTGTGACACAGTAATGTCCTGTATCTCAATAACGATGTTGTTGTCTGTCCTAGGGAGGAGCATGCCACTCTGGAGCAGCTGCGGATTGACGTCATCAGCAGCAACCCCAACGAGATCATGCAGTTTCACCAGATCTCCAAGGAGAGCTGGCAGTCGGTCGCCAAGCACTCGCCCAACCTGACGTTGGTCATGTACTTCTACGTGCACAACGACGAGGACTTCGCGCCCTTCTTCCAGTGTGACACGCCGGTCACACACCTGTTCTTCGGTGCCTACGTCTCCAAATCGGCCTTGCGGAGAGTCGGGCTACACTGCCCCAAGCTGATCGAACTGGTGGTCTGTGCGAACGGCACGCAACCGCTGGATGACGAAGTGGTGTTGATCGCAAAGTCGTGCAAGAATCTTCACTCCCTCGGGCTCGGGGAGTGCGAACTGTCGTGCAGCGCATTCGTGGAGTTCGCCAAAATCCTGGGACCGAACCTGACAGAACTGAGCGTGATGGAGGAAGTGTTGGTTGGGGACAACAACTTTGACACCTATGAGGCGTACAGCGCAGTGTCCAAGTACATCGGGCGTTATTGGATGCCCGAATACATGCCCGTAGTCTGAACTGTGATACAAATGATGATGGATTCATCATATGAACACGAGTCCCCCCCGTGCTGCCTATGAGGAAACTCATACCAGCACTTGCCCTGAATGGAGAAATGGCATGTTTCCAACTCACTAGGAGGCATCTGTTGCAGTAAGGAAGAGATGTGCCATCTCTTTATGCAGTGGAACTGTGTGCATATTTGTTGATTTTTCTGTACATAGCTTGTAACAAAGAGGCAATGTGTTGTAAGTGTGTTTGAATGGAGATTTTGAAGTTGCTGTCTTTGCAGACGTGCCATTGTTTGTTGTGACTATTTTGTAAAAGGAAGAATAATTATTTAAGTGACATGACACAAACAAGGTAGCAATCCTCCTGAACTTAGTTTTTCCGTCTCATGAAACAGGTTGAAAAAATAGGTCTTAGTAGCAGCTTGGAACCACATTGGTGTGATATATATCCCATGTTTATTCCAATCAAAAAGTAGTAATTATGTGATTTACATCAATACTGGCCAACCTCTAGCACAAAATCAGACAGAGGTGGAAAACAAAATGGTTGTAAGCTGTGCTACTGTTATGTTTTTCTTTTGTATACTGCTGATGGTGTTCCATCTATACTTCTCTGTATAATACATACCATTTTTGTCTGATGGTCATGAGTAATGAATTGGCTGATGAGGCCAGAATAATTTCAAAATTGTGCCCAACAATATTGTCGGCCAGCAATATTTCTCTGGATAGAATATTTATTTGGCATCTAGTGATTGGAATGTTTAAAGCCTGCCCATTTAGGACAAATTAGCATGGATGGGTACAAGACAGGTAGATGTGTTTAGCTGTTTTTACAAGAGTAATTCAGTTTGGTTGTTCAAGTTTCTTAGTAAATTTGAAGGAGTGTCAGACAAAGAATTTCATATTCTAGAATTGTAGATGAACCTTAAAACATCCGGTCAAATAACTGACAATGGTAAGGTTTTGTACTGTTTTTATTGTCTTGTGTACATGCAAGAAACTAGGAAAATACAAGCAGAAAATACATCGTTTTCTGTGGAACGGTAAACATTAATAGCTGCTAGTGGTGATGTGCCTACAAGATACTCCACTTATCCATGATATGTACAGCTGTGTCATTGTCTTTACAAAGAGGTTTGTAATTGATATTTTGAACTGTCCTTGGTTGACTCTCTTGAAAGCTTTCAAAGATATGCCCTGTACATATTTTTGTAGTTGACAATTGGTACTTTGTAGTTTTGCCATATCTTGAAAAGTAACAGCACAATAGAACAGTGTCACAGAAGAATTTGTATCAGTTGATGTCTTGATGTGAACTAAATTACCATAGTTTTAGGAAGCAGAAGACCTGTCAGTTCTTGAAATGAAACATTGACGCAATAGTGGCTTGTTGTAATCAAGTATAAACTGGAATGAGCTGAAGTTGGCTGTTTTTGCTGTGGGAGGGTCCATTCCAAGTACCTGTGCGGGTGTCTTTTTCTTCAAATCTTTGAAATTAGGGAAGAAACATTTGAACTTTGTTTGGAATTCTACATACTTTCAATATCTGAATTTTTGTCAGTTTTGATGAATATTTGTGATTCTGAGGACTGTATTTTCATGGATTTTAAAACAATGACATCATACTCTTATATTCTTCAATTCCAAAAAATCTGCATGGTGATGTGGAATGGACTTGAGTATAGTTGTGTTATAGCAACACCTGGTGTCATCAAAGCTGATACAGATAAAAAGATTTGTACTCAATGGGGTAGAAGTAAAATGTGGGTTAAATTACGTACAGAGCCAGGCAATCATGTATTTTTGAGAGATTGAAAGAGATATTATTATGTACATGTATGTGAGATTGTACAGATAACGGATTTCCTAAATGTTTATATATAACCTAAAGGATTATACTTGTGTTCCTGTCAAGATAGACATCTTTCTCAGAGTGGGGACTCCTGAGGTTAAAAAAAAGTCACATTTCCTGATCTGTTGCTCATCTTTCCTTTGTAAATACTGATCTTTACAGGATAAAATGTATTTTGGGGTGATGCTACTTCTTGAGTTCACCAACCCAGTTGTGTCCATAGTGAAAGAAATTGCATATCCATAACAAGAATGCCCAAAAATTGTGGCAAGTTCCACATCTCGAACGAGGGTATATAATGTACTTTATTTCACATTGGATGCAAATGGGTTAGAAAAGATGCTTACAATAAAGGTCTTTGTGAAAAAATCAGGTTGTACGGTTTGTTACTGAATATTATGCTTCTTTTAGTGTTACACTTTGTCAAGGTAGATACTAGTGCATTAGTCTCTAAGCAGATGTTGGGGAAGTCATTGTTGTCTAACAAGCATCTACTAGCTTCTCCATCTTACTTAGCCTGACTAAATCTGCACTCCTAGTGGCCGGCCAGGTATTACACCAGCTACCCCGGGCCGACCGCTAGGAGCATAGATTTAGTCAGGCTACATCTTACTGCTCTTCTGTTGGTAGCTGTCAGAAAAGTGTGGCTGGTCAGCGTTGGCAGGAGAAAAAAGCCATGCATGTGACTTACTTATAGCTGTTGCCCGTAAGTAATGTCTTCTTTAAGTTACAGTGGCTGATAATCTAACTGGAATCTGTTGAAAGACTTCTGCAAGTCCTTCTTGAGTTCAAGGAACCCATGAGTTGCTGACGTAAAACTTTTTTCTAACAATCTTGTCATGCCTTCCTTCGACTATTTTTTTTTCACAGGGCCAGCCTTGGTTATATACTAATGTAGCACTTGGTTTAAGTCCTGATCTCTTGCTAAGAAGTTTAAAAGCATTCTTTACCATTGCCTTGCAGTCTACAGATTGCCTGGGAATTCTTGCTTTCTCCTTTGATCTAAACAGTATTCAACATTTCTCAATTACACTACTTGCAGTAAGTGTTGAGCTAAATGGACATCACAGAGTAGGGGATAACTTTTATAAACCTGAACCTAACCGCCCATTCAAAACTATACTGAAACTGCCTTGTCACTAGGCAAAACCTTTACTCAGCTATGAAATTTTGTGAATTAAGTGCACATAATTCAAACCAACAAACAGTATTCAATGCTCATTGCTCTTTATTGAAACATGTGGCATCACTACAAAGCATCTGGTGCAAAAGACAGTTACAAAATTACACATAGGACAATTCTTTCACAAGTGTGTTTGTTAAACTTTAAGGAAAGCTGGTCCAGGATAAATTCAATTCTGTTCATTTTTAAAGTGCTTTAATGCTTTAAACACTAGAAAAAGCATGCATTTTGTGAGGAATGTTTCAGCTGTTGCGTTGCTTTCTTAGAATCCACCACGCAGACGCAGCACCAAGTGGAGGGTGCTCTCCTTCTGGATGTTGTAGTCGGACAGGGTGCGGCCATCTTCCAGCTGCTTGCCGGCAAAGATAAGACGCTGCTGGTCTGGGGGGATGCCCTCCTTGTCTTGGATCTTGGCCTTGACGTTCTCGATGGTGTCGGATGGCTCAACCTCAAGGGTGATGGTCTTGCCAGTCAGGGTCTTCACGAAGATCTGCATATTTCTGTTGTCTGAAAGAGGTTACAAGAAATAATCAAAACATGTGACAAGGATTAACAAAGGAATTCGTCCTTTTGTTTAGCTTCCTAGCTTCCCACATAATAGTAAGTAAATTATGCATGGCTGTCTCAAACTGACTAAAATTATATGGAAGGAGCCATGGGAAATTGAAGTCTTTTAACATAACACTTTGTGAAAAAAAATCATTTTGTCGTTCTTACTAGTGAATGTTCGTGTTTTGGTAAAAAAAATCTCGTTCAAAGTCAATTTGTGCAAACAAAATTCAGAGCAAAACACGTATTTGCGTCAGCCGCTCTCCAGTCATAAAAAAGTGCAAAGAACACTAAAATAAATGCTCTGTTTAGCCCAAGTTCATAATAGTTCAATGTTGTAACTATACAAGCAGAATTTCATCGGACACACTTGCTGGAAGTCCAAAAAGGAACTGCGCCACGTACTAGTAATTTCCGCCAAGTCATTATGTCAGCGTGGGGACGCTACTCTCAGGAAGCGAAAATTTGTCACGTACACCCTTGGTTACAGCTGTTTTGTAACTTAAATCTAACAGCAACGAAAATGCCTCAACATTTAATTCACAGAAACTGTAAGATCTTCGTAATTTCTCGAATAAAACCCAAAATTTCGTAACTATATCCTACGCATCAAGAAAAATTAAAGATGGCGACCGGACAGGAAGCTTGAAGGTCGATTGTTGTCTGATTTCCTGACAGAAAATGATCCCCAATCTACAAATATATCGTCAGAAAAGGAGTCTTAAACATACTGAAAACATATTCTACTAAATAGGTCGATTTTTCCTTACTTACCGTCAAGTAAATGAAGAGGAAATGTACGATGCTTTCTCACTGTTTTTCAGGAACAAATGCTGAGCAAGAAATTTCCCGTACTTTATAGTTTGTGATCTTTTACTCATATATCCTGCTGCAGTACAAGAAAATAGTGCATGTAAAATACGGTCTATTCCTTTTATACTTAGATCTTTTTACAAGAACCATCAGAGTGAATTCTTGATATATTAATAAGATGTCAGGTATATACTATATCGAAATATCATAACGTAATCGACAGGGAAGAACGCAGGTGTGTCGCAATAATATTTCTTTTTGCTCAGTGATACGGGCCCGAACTATTACGTATTCTATTATGTTCTAGAAGGTTCCCCTAAAGCGTCATGATTCGTCATTGGATATTTCTACGCTGTACTTCCCGTATAGACCAATCAGAGCTGTCCTTATAAAACATTATTTAGCTGATACCATACACTTTAGAGGGGTGTAATCAATATCTTATATTATATCACTATAGCATGTATACCTATATTATGGTACATTTATTTTGATAACGTATTTTTAAGCTATAAATTTTGGGTTTCTATTGTAGCTATATCAAAGTTTGATAAATTGGTGGAAAATACACACCCTGTACACCATGATTTCGTGGTGAGATAGTGAGACAGCCCAACGAGCTATCAGCCAGTCAGAGCGTTCCACGTTCTGGGCCATGCCGGGGAAAGGTGAGTTTCTCTTCCTGGTTATTTTAGTGCCGATTTTATAACCCAAACCTGTATTCTTGCTACATTTCGTTCACTACGCGTTGTTCGTTTATTGAGTCGGGAAACCACAGGCTCTGCAATCGGCTAGGTAAGAATTCGGAGCGTGTTGAAAGGGGAGGCGTTTTTCACATGTGGTGACCCCTCCCCATTGACGGCCTCCCCACATGTACATGTGCTAATGATATCAGTATGCATTGTCATGACCGTGGGGAGGGGAGGGGGTGGATTTTTAGGACAGAGATCTGTTTTAATGTCGGCTTTATAAGAATATGTGCAAAGAACGAAAACATCACGTGGATTTCCATTAGAATATGAAATTCACTGTGGGATTTTTGGCATAAAACACAGGAAAAAATTATATCAGTTTTTAATATTTGTCAATTTCAAATTCAAGTCTTATGAAAATTCTTGTAAGAAACTCAATTCTTTTTTTATTGAATATTGCACTGATATGTAATCATTATAAAACCCCACATTTACTTATTGCTTGGCAGTGTGGCGGATATTGGATCATTTCTGTGTAGTTGAAATAATTTTGTATCCAAGGCCATATACTTTTTATTATCCAGGGCCATATAGATTTATTATAAACTACCATAAAGGTCCATATTCCTTGATTATGTTTTACAGTTGCATTTTAGTGTTATGTCCATGAGACTTCCGCAGGACATGAGGAAAGTATCTAAGAACGCAATTTTCTTGTTGTCAGAGAATGTATGATATTTGCACAATGTGAACAAAGGATTTTGTACTAGTAGCATGTCGAGAAAGCCAAGAGTTGTGGCAGGTGTAAGAAAAAGATTTGGTAGAAGTACTAATTCCCAATCCCGTTAGATCATGAAATGGGAGAGGGCGATTTTTAGGTAATCTGTGTAACTTATCGATGTGGGCACTGCCACAGACTATTATATGGGAAGGCAGAGGAAACAGTACAAGTGACTTGACCAGATAACTGTTTCTTCTGCATTTCCAGACAATAGAGCTAATTGGAAGTCAGTGCACATTTGTACCAGGCACTGTATGTTTTACAGTACAGGTGACCACAATCCATGTTCTTTGAAGTGTGGGTGTGGTCACTGTGTATGGGGTTGGGTAGACAGCCAGGCTACACTTTGCGTATTTGTCTGTATAAGCAATGGAAATTCAGATAATGGAAGAACAGGTTTGGTATGAATTACTAGTCGCATATGTACATTCTTTTCCACCTGCCTGGGCTAAAATTTCAGCTGTGCTGGTAGAGTTACAGTACTATCATTGAGAGTAAACCATTCAATCAAAGCAACAGCCTTACAGGTCCAGTTGTGCATACAATACATGTATTGGAGCTCCCCATTTGTCAAACATGTAATGTTACAGTAGTTTGAGTGTGTTGAGCATGTGTTGTAAGATAAAGATATCTCACAGGATATCCAATTGATAAGATAGAATGATATCCTGTTCTGTAGAGCCGGATTCATCTGTACTGTTATTCTAGTCCACAGCTTTAGTGGATTGATAAAACAGCAAAATTATAATATACATGCACTAGTATAATGGCCTCCTGTCCCCATAAACATATTGATATATGCGCATTTGCAGACTGCAATTATGTAAATGATGAGATAACCTATACACCATGCCCCAAATACTAGTAAGTAATCCTTTGTCCTATACATGTACATGTATTACAATGACATCGATGAGTATCTACCCATATGTAGTACAATGTCTATACATAGACAATTGAATATAATCTTTGTGTCATCTGTGAGAAAATGCCATGTGGGTTATACTGAGCAACCATTTACAATTTAAGGGGCTAACGCTTTATATATTACCCAGCACAGAAAAGAAACATTCTATCATTTTTGATAATTTTATTCATTGCAACATTCATCAGCATTGCGTATAAATACAAGGCATTTGTTGGTAATGTAATATTGTAGAGTTGTCCATAACAGTTCAGATACTAGTAAAACATGGGTGCTGTTGGCAGCTGGAGTCAGATATTCATACACTATTCCTGTGGGATATCCATGTATATCTGCGGGTGATCCCATTTGAGCTTAAAACAATACGCACATGACATGGTCTTTTGGTGGGTATGAGGTGCTGAAAATTTAATGCATCATCTATCACATGGTCGTTATGGGGTTACCAATTATGTAGACCAGAGTGACTTTTTGTGATGATGTACCTTAAAACTCATAAGATATACGAATATCCTGTCCCTTTGTCAGCCTTAAAACATAGAAATTACCCTGTATGGAAAATTTATGTGTGCACCTGCCAGTGGAAATCCCTTGAGAGGAGGGGTGCCCAATAAAGGGATAGACCAATGAAGACAATTAAAACACAACCCATCATGATAATGTCAAAACATGCATATAATTTTCACACATCACATTTAGGAGCTCATGATACTCCAACCTTTTGTATTTCTATGACATGAATATGTATTGTTGTAAGACATTCGCAGACTCTGGAATTTTAAGTGATTATACCAGACCACTTTGTACATGATATCCTGTTGTGCAGAGAGAAAACATCAAAGAATGTTACCAGCTTTGAACAAGCTGTGTGGTTGATATCTACTTGTAGTGCACCTCTATAGTGTTTGTCTTGTTTTTGTTCCAGTATCAAACAAGATGCTCCTGAGATTGTCATTGGTCGCTCTGTTGCTGCTACAGCTGGGCTGGTCTGCCCATGCCCAGGATGAGGTAAACGTCCACACATCATTTCTTAGAAACTCAACTTGAAATTCAAGTACATGTATTATGCTGTACTCTGCATTCTAGAAAGTGGAATGGGCAAACAGTTTGGCTAGATATGTAGTTGAAAAAGAAGTACAGGTACATTGTACTAGTAATGAAAGTGACACTATAGAAAACCAATCAACCCGCCAATATACACTGGACTGGACATAACAAAAAGCTAGTCCTAAAAATCTATATACATTGTAATATATTATCTGTTTGGAGAAGTTCTGAAGTGTTCCCTTCTGTGCAGGAGACCATTGAGGTTGAAGAAGGAACAGAAGAAGCAGAACAGCCAGAGGAAGTGAAGCCCTTGTACAGCCCACCTACCGCTACTGGAGAAACTTTCTTCACCGACCATTTTACCAGTGAAGAGTCCTTCAAACAAAAGTATGTTTCTCTACCTGTCAGAAATATACAAATAGAACATTTACAGTTACAACCATTATTTTGAAAGTTCATTTGTGAAGTCATTATGAAGAAAGTTTAAGCTATAATTTCGAACACAAAATGTGGGTAAGTCTAAAATCTTGTGTCAGATATTACAGTTAAAACTTGCTTCATTATGTGTAAGCATTATCTGACTGTCACATTCCTCAGAACTATATGTCTGTATTTCTGTACATCCCAACAGTTTTAATGTTGTGTTGGTAGATGGGTGCTGTCTGAAGCTAAGAAGGAAGGTGTGGCTGAGGATATTGCCAAGTACGATGGGAAGTGGGCAGTGGAAGAACCCGAGGAACAAGCCATGAGTGGAGACCTTGGGCTGGTGCTGAAGGTATCATCATTAAACTTTGTGTACAGAAATAGTAGATGTTCCAGACTAGTGAAGTCTTGAAAGAAAAGTATTTGGGAAAAAGTTAATTGATATGAAGGACGTGCAAAGTTCGTAAAACTTTAAGAATCATATCATTTAGTGTCCAGAATCACATTTCAGTCATACGATGCTTCTAAACAGCTTCAGTCTTCAAATATTCACTTGAAAATGTCTCTGCCTTTTTCAGTCTCGTGCTAAACACCATGCTGTTGCTGCCAAGCTAGACAAGCCGTTCAAGTTTGATGGCAAGCCTTTAGTGGTGCAGTAAGTATGTCCTCATTGGACTTGGGCACTGTTGTAAGAAAAGAATGGAACATAAGATTTTGTAGCATTTTAGACAATCTCTATACATAGGTTGTTACTTCAGATAGGCGTAACTACTCTTCTATAATGCCTTGCTGTTACTTTTCGCCAGATACGAGGTGCGTTTCCAGAAGGGTATGGAGTGTGGAGGAGCTTACATCAAGCTGCTGTCAGATGTGCCTGGTCTGGACTTGGTGAGGACTCTTTTATCTAACTATATTCACATGAGTGAAATAAGTCTTGATTACTTGTCATGATTTACTATAATTATCTAGTTCCTTTCAAAAGTACAGACAGTTGGTGTTTATCATTGACTCTTTGACGTATTAGACACTGTAATATACTTGGAATGGTTTGAAAAAAGTTGTTTGTATGTTTGCGAAACGCAAAAGATGGGATTTTCAGAACCTATTGATTGACTGTACTTTCTTTCACGCAACAGAAAAACTTCCAGGATAAAACGGGTTATACCATCATGTTTGGGCCTGACAAGTGTGGGGTGGATACAAAGGTAAGACTGTATTTATATCATATTTATCTTGTGTGCTATGTAGAAGGTACAAGTCTGTGTAGAGACTGTGTAAAGGCTGACAATTCTTGTAAGTTGTAGTTCAAAGGGTTTGGTACCGGTAGTGTCTTTGGGACAGGTATTTAATATTACAATTGAGCTTATCTGTCCTCTGTTTTGTCTTCAGATAAAGACATTTTACAGTATATGTACATTCAAGTGATTTTTTCGGAAACTCCATCCTACTACATGTTAGCCGTTTAAAGTCGTATAAAGCAGTGACCTCTTCTTTCCACAGCTGCACTTCATCTTCAGACACAAGAACCCCAACAACGGTACATACGAGGAGAAACACGCCAAGAAACCCACCATGGACCTGGTCAACGTCTTCACAGACAAGCAGACACATCTCTTCACCTTAAGTAAGGCTATAAGCAAGAAAGTTAGCAAGAAAAAACTTAGTGTATGTATTTGACATTTTGAAATTGTTTCTGTAACAGCACATAAGTGATACTGACTGTAATCCTCCCCCCCTTCCAGTTGTGAACCCAGACAACAGTTTTGAGCTGCTTGTGGACCAGACTCTGGTGAACTCTGGAAGTCTCCTACATGATGTCAGGTACTGTTGTGTTGTTTTATCTCTCAACATCCTCAAGACCAACCTTCTCTCTACTGATCAATTATCATGACTGTGTTAAAGACAAATCTTGATAAGTGGTTATCAAAACATGTCTTTTAATATGAATTGACAGATTTTCTATATTTTGACAGGTGTTAATTGTTATAAGCTATTGGCTATGGGATGAGTATCCTGTGTGTAGGAACTTAATCTAAATTGAGTGATTGACAGTAGAATGTTGTTTGTCATGTCCAGCCCTCCAGTCAACCCACCACAGGAGATTGAGGATCCTGATGACAGTAAACCTGAGGACTGGGATGAAAGGGAAAAGTGAGCCTAGCTTACATTGTCACATTTTGGCAACTCCTCAGGAGCAAAGCTATTTCCATATCAGTGAAATATTTACCTGCACTGGGTTATAACATCACATTCTCATTGTGCAAATAATGGTAAAATTATGTATTTTCTCTCAGCTTGCTGCAATTATGATGAAATACCCTTTTTTATCAAATGTATACTGGAATGTACCTTGCTGAATGATGGTTTGTTCTACCTACAGGATCCCAGACCCTGATGCTACTAAGCCTGAAGACTGGTAAGTCTGGATTGAATGTTAGGAAAACAAAGAATGGTTACATGCTGGTTATATGACGGCACATCTTGTTTTAAAAACTTTGGTAGTGACAGGTACAAATTTTGTTTTAAATGACCCAAAGTCCCTGCTTCTCCTGTCATGTTGGAGATACTACGACTGTGTTTTCTGAACTTGAGATACATCCAAAAGAATGATTCATCCATACTACAGGTTATAGACTGTGCACACATTTGTGACTAAGACTGATCTTTGCAAGGAACAAGTCACAAAGAATTAGCATAAAATTGATTGTTTTCTTCTCTGTCACGTGGTTTACAGGAATGAGGACGCCCCGAGGAAGATTGTCGACCCTGATGCCACGAAGCCCAGTGGCTGGCTGGACGATGAAGAGGAGTTTGTCCCTGACCCCAATGCTGTCAAACCAGAAGACTGGTGAGTGTTATAGTACTTAGATAGTAGATCACTTCAGCCAGGTACATGTTGTCAGATCTGTTCCAGTTGAGGCTGCTCATCACTTAAATCGTCATTTAAGGCTTAAGTGGAAATGATGAAGTGTTTGTGAAGTTTATGCACAAAGCCATACCACCTTTAGAATATGAAAGCTAAGACATGTCAAACAACAAAACAGTCAGATACAGATTTCTCTTTCACGGATGACCCCAAAGTCCCTGCCCCTCTGTCTGTCTGTGTCTGAGGGATTTAAGACTTTGGTACAACATTTTCCCAAGACCTCGGAGATTAGACGTCGCCTTGACTGTGTCTTACGCTCTTCAGAACTTGGGATACAACTAAAAAAAAATTCAACCAGTTAATGCGTACAAAATATGGAAAAAAATGTCTTTAGAGTGTTAGCTTGGCAAGGCTCATCCTTTGATGTTATATATGTATATTTTGTCATTTGTTTGTTCATCTGTTTTATAGGGATGATGAAATGGATGGTGAATGGGAGGCTCCTCAGATAGGTAGGTGTCCATCAAATCTACACATTCTGTTACAAAACTTGTATTGTCTTTGCTTCTGTTCTTACTAGCATGAAGCTGACTTCAGATAATAACTCTGCATGCTTACTTCAATGTACATGTAGTGTAATAATTTAAGTGAAGCCAGTAACAGTTGAAATTTGGGACTCCATAGTATAACATCAACTTGAATTGTCCTTATAAATATACTTGAGTATTGCCCTGTCCAAGGTGTCAAATTCCTGCCTGTCTTGCATACTGCACATGGCAGTCGGGGCCAAAGCTTTGGAAAAGTAACAGCTGACTACTTTTGTTAGAGGCATGTCACTGCATATATGCTTCATAACGTAGTCATCTTACAAACAATTTTTAATATCCACCCACTACACTACTCATGTTTGTCTTCCTTACATGTAGCTCTAATGTGTATTGTGGGTCACCTTTAGATATGAGAAGGTAAAACTGAAATCCATGTTTTCCCCACCCAGAGAATCCCAAGTGCGAGGCAGCCCCTGGGTGTGGGGAGTGGTCCCCACCCATGATTGACAACCCTGAGTACAAGGGCAAGTGGAAAGCACCCATGATCGCCAACCCCAACTACAAGGTAAGATCTGTAGTAATTTTGTCAAACAGTGTTTAACATATTAATATGTAGCACTTCCTTAGAAGTAAGTAAGAAAAAAAGAGCATTTTCACAGCTCAACTGCATTGTTAACTATTTTACTAAGACAAGGTTTATACATTTTGCACACTTTTATCTCTACAGGGTATCTGGAAGCCCAGGATGATTCCCAACCCTGAATACTTTGAAGACCTCAGTCCCTACGCCATGACTCCTATTGTAAGTCATTCTTCATGTTGATTTGCTAGCTATAGTCACACTTAAAGATTTATGTTTTTTGCTATAAATTCTATAAGGGTTGTGAGTTTGTGTGTAATCTGATTTGAGTTACAGGCCTTTCTCTTTGAAATTAAGTGTTAGAACATATTTAAGGAAACACTTAAGGGAGATCTTGAATACACTGTTGAGAGATTTTCTCATGTGTGTTCCCAGGGTGCAATAGGCCTGGAGCTGTGGTCAATGACAGAGGACGTTCTGTTTGACAACTTCATCATCACTAACGAGAAGACGGTCGCCGACGACTGGGCCAAGGCTAGCTGGAAACTCAAGAGCCACGAAGAAGCCAGGGAGAAGGCTGCTGTAAGGGGACTTTTCATGTACCATTTTCATGAAATATCATGTTTGTGCAGTTTAATGGGTCAGGTGCAGTCAATATGCAAATCGGATAACAAACAAATGTTCAAACAAGTTGTGTGGTGAATGTTCAAGTGAATACTAGAATGAATTGTGAATATCATACCTATAAATGGGTTTGATTTTACCAGCCTTCATGACTGTAACTTACACATTTAAGTAACTTGTACAGTTAGTACATACATGTAGAAGATGTAAGACAAACACTTTGGATCTTTTACTTTGAAAGAGATAGGTCTATTTCTGGACCAAGGAATGATGTTTGTTGGTTGAATTTCTGTTGTTTTTTTTCCAGCAATCCTTCATAGAGTCAGTGGTGTTTGCTGCGTACGAGCGTCCCTGGCTGTGGGTTGTGTACATCATGGTCGTCGCCATCCCTGTGATCCTGTTCATCCACTTCTGCTGCCCAGCCACGGTGAGAACACATGCAACGTCTCGTGTCATGAACACAAAGGATTGCTCAAATTGTCCCTATGTACCACACCTAGAGTTTCTAACATACTTAAGTTTCTAACACACCTCCTTCCTTCCTTCCTAGATGCCCAAGAAGAAGGCTGCTCACCCCAAGAAGACAGATGCCATCTCTCCAGACGACAAGGTTCCTAAGAAGAAGGCAGATCTGAATGCCAAACCAGCTGAGCTGGGACAAGGAGACGCTATGGTAGGATTTATAACTTAGGAGCTCTTAGATGTCAGGCTATGCTGATAAAGCTATGCATGTGTAAAGCCTGAATATCATTGTTATTGATAGAAGCTATGAACAGGAAATGAATGGATGGAAAGATAGATGTTTGGATGGAATGATTAATGATTGGATGCTTGAAGTGGATAGGTAGGGCTAAAGTTTTGGAATTGTTAGATGAGATAGTGCTGAAAATGTGGAAATAGAAGCAGCATGTTGAACTGGTTTCAATACAAATCTATCGATATGAAGAAACTGTGAACCTCACCCTTCAGGCTGAAGAGGACCAGGAAGAAGCAGCAGCTGATGAGGAGGCTGAGGGTGAAGCTGGGGAGGAGGAGGAGGAGGCTGAGGAGAAGGGGGAGGAGCAGGAAGCTCCTGAGGAGGACCAGGAGGAGAGGAAACCAAGCAAAGCTGACCTGGAGGCCACAGAACAGGTAACATAACATCACAGTTCAGAAACATGGCCAGAAAATGTAGTGTTAGCTACTTCACTATAGTACATGACTGTGCTACAATGTAACAGAGTTGATGGCATTTAGAGGATGAAGAAAAAGTTTTGTTGGTAACTTTTGACTCCACTAAGAACTATAAATCTATCAATTTTTGGTGGTATTGCCTTCACACTCCTGTAAATTAGGCAAAATATGCTGATTAAAGGATTGTAGGTACTGACACTTTGCCTTTTTACCTTTCAGCCTGAGGCATTAGCAGAGGAAGGGTCGCCAAGGTAAGTTATGTGGTTTGTTCTAGACAATAAAGTAGTCTATGTTTTGATTGTGTGAAATTGTATGATGTAGAAACCCGAAGGCTTCTCATGAACAAATAGTAAGTAAACTGCTCAACTGAAGTTAAAGCATTTGGTGGTGGTTTTAAAATTATCTACAAAGTGACCCTCACTGCATGCAGTCAGTCAGTCACTCTCTACATTGTCATCCATCCTTACTGTCTTGCAAAGGTAGGTGTGCAGTGTAATGTCAATGTCTGATCACTAACAAGTTGTCATCTGTGTCCTTCCAGAACATCTGCCAGGAAGCGTAAGGTCAGGAAAGACTGATGATGGGCCAACCTTTAGACATTATCAGGGATGTGAAACTGCCAGGGGCAGGGGGCATTTCGCGCAGAATGCCCAGTCCGATATATTAGACTGAAATGATGTGCATTATGGAAACCTGTGCATCTGCTGGTGTCATCTGCGAGACAGTGGCTCGTAACTTCTCGACTTGTCTGTAGATCAAGAAAATGGCATTGGGTAATAAGATCAGCCTCTCTTGCCCCTTCCCCTTGCAGATGACACTGACAGATGCGTATATTATGTGTTACATTGTACATTTCCTTGAGAATACCAGGAACAACTGTAAAAACTTTGTTTGTACTTCTGCACTTCTTATATCACTATCAAGTTGGAGTTTTGGAGCAAGTGTCAGTAAAACTTGTTGACATTCCTCTTTGTTGTCAAGTTGTTTTTTTAGTTACTTGTTTTCACTGCAGGTTCAATGTTATATACAAACAGTGCCTAAACACAAGGTTATCTTGAGTTTTGTATATTTGATGATGAAGAAAAATGGAGGAATGTACAAAAGACTTGTGCTGCTTATACTACTAGGTAGTAATTAAATGAAGTAATGATTATGTTTGCATGCATTGAATTTGTAGGAGTAAATATAGGCAAGAAATTGGTGATTGAGAAAGTTGAGTGTTTTCCACTGTATTTAGTTTGACTGTATGAAATGATATTGTAAAAAGGAAAGAATGTGTTTAGTTCAGTGTTCTACAGTCTACTGTAAGTGCTTGAATCTGCTATTGGATGGGTTGATGCCCAAATACGGCTGTGCTTTAACATGGCTGCGTACATGGAAGGTTGTATACATGTAGGACCTGGATATAGACTTCATCCCTTGTTTAGCTTCTTCCAGGAGTAGCTGTAGACTTCACATTGACTAGTTCTTTCATAGTAAGGAGTAGAGATTTCTGTAAACCTTGGTCTTAGAACAAAGCTGCAAGAATGTGTAAAAGTCATTCTTATAAGGTTCAACCTATAGATGCAAACTCATGGGGTAGCTTTTTTTACCATGCAAATTGATTTACATGTATGTAAATGAGTGATGTAAAATGCTATAATTGTAGACTTTGATTGTATACATTGGTGATTTTCTAGCAGTGTTGTGTAGACCATATCTGTATATCACTGTTGAATGTCAAAATTGACATTGTAGGCAAAACTACTGAAGAAACAAAAGCATATTGGAACTGGTAAACACTGCAAGTTGTAGTGTTCTTTTAGATGATATGTTATAAGAAATCTTCCCATCTATGATTGTAGCTTTCAAAGGCAAGGAAGAACAGCCATAACAGACATATGGGGTGTTTGCACTGTGACATAAGCATAGTCGGCCATGCTGGATGTTTAAACCTAGAGTTGCCAGGTAAAGTTGTATATGTATTGACATTATACACATGTTTATTTGAAGGACTATCTCCCACCAGTATGGACGTACCATATAGGTACTACAGAAACCCCAACATAGCCAACTACTGTACCATCTTGAATACAAAAGCAAATAAATAATCCGAGAGTGCTGCTTGTTGAGTACATGTAAGCAATGGTTGTGGCATTACTGTGTAACTGGTCAACAAATTCCTAACTATTATACTTTCACCAAAGATTCATAGTAAACATAACTGGGAAGAAAAAGGAACTATGAAACATTACCAGACTTTTCAATTGAACCATCATGTTTTTCCCTGTAATACATTTCCTTGTCTTGAAATAAATTACCCTAAAGTTACCCGTAACTGCAGTTTTTATTCTGTGCATTCATGTAGTCAAGAATACTTTTTCTGTACAAGACGTTTACAGTAGATAGATACAATTGACTTGAAAAATAGAAGTTTGTTTTAAGTGCATAATCAATGCATGTAACTGTGGCATTTTGCTTATGGTACAGATTGATTGTTGAGATAGGTGCTTTAATGTCAAGTTGAAGACAGCATCTTTATTCCTGTAAGTTTTTGGTCTGAATAATGGAAATGATCTGAGGTGTTTGGAGTATCTCCTCCCAGATGGAACGGTTGGTGGGGCTGGTTCCAGGTGCAGGGAGGGACTGGAGAGACTTCAGAGTTGCTGTTGCCACGTGTGGAGGGCCTTGCAGTAGACCTAACACATGAGACAGAAGCTGGTCAAACGAGTACTGGTCTTCCCCAGTCCTATGTCTGGAAAATAAAAAGAATGGAGATACTGTTAATGAGAAGTAACGTGCCAAAATTTAGGTGATGAATAGGTCAAATTCTGAGTCCATAACATCACTGCAGTATCCAATATTGTCACCAGGGGGCATGATAACCCTACCTCCAGGTTCTGCCCTGCTGTGCCTGTTCCATCACCACCATGTCCTTCCCCCACTCCACTAGATATGACAGATATGCCTTGTAGAAACTGAAGTAGATAGCAGCCACCTTCACCAGTAATGAAGTCTGCACCTGAAACATGAACCTGGAAGAAGACAAGACTACATGAATGAAGAACAACTTCAAAATGAAAAAAAAAAAAACAGATCATGCATTATAAATCTTATAACAGTTGGCAAACGACAGTCGTAAGGAAATCATAACAATGAAAATTATGTTATGAAAATGTGCTGATTCAAAATCAATGGGACATGTACCTGTTATGTCCTGTTTGTTGTAACACCCACTGGAGTAAGAACTTGCTGATTGGGTTGGATTCTACATCTATATTGGGTCCAGCTGACGTTGTTTCATGTGTTTCCACACTCAGGACCATTGCAGTTAAGACTGTCTCCTGCATAAAACAATATCACAGGATGAATGGTGGAGTCACTTACCTGTTACAGTTGTACATGTACAGTACTTGGATATACACTTGTACCGGCATTCAGAAACATTCAACCAGATTCAACAAACAAAACACTTGTTGCTATCTATCTATCTATTATCCTGAAAAATGTACTCACCCATCCTTGCTGGTGTAGAACAATTTCCTGCAGTTTTCTACCAATGGCTTGTTTCGTTCTGGAAAAATACAAAAATTGTCACAGAGCGATTTTAACCTTAACCCTTTACCTAGTCCCATCCTCATGATTTCAACCTAAACCTGCAGCTAAAAAAATCTCAAAGAAAATGTTTGTGGCCTGATGATAGTAGTGACATCTGTATGTTTATGGTGTCCAGTCTCTGTACCTTTGTGTCTGTGCACTTTCTGCAAGATGTAGGTTTATGAACTGGAGGAGAAGTGAGGCATCTGTCTCAACTTGGATGTCCCGGCCCTGGCAGCAATCATTGGCAGGACCTTTTATAGAAATAAGAAAGATACACATAAGATAACTAATACATGAGTGTCTGCGGGAAAGCTTAAACTTCAAGTATCAGTACAATATGGGATATACATGTTAGATATGACAACTGAGCAGCACATACATACCTGAATGGAACAAATTGTTGTGGTTCGTGTTTAACAGCTCTCTCATGTGGCCAACAAGCTGTACTGCAGACTGAAGCTGGGAGAAGGCAACAGCATCCTGAAAAACAAAATATTTCACTTTTATCTTTTAAAGAAAAATTGGCAACCAACGTACACAGTCCACATAAAAGACTGAATATTATAAATTTGGGACTATTGTGAAAATAGAGCTACATGACGAAGTAAAAAGTTACCTGTGTTTGGCTCTGTCCACATCTTTGTAAGACTACAGAGTACAGCATTGGAGGAAGATGGGAGTTTTGCATTAAAGCCTGAAGGATAAACAGTAAAATGCAAATATGTCTGTGATATTTCACTTTCACTATGATGACAAAAATAGAAAGCGATTTACAAGAGCTGCATTGCCTTTGCTCACAAGGTAATGTTATAATTTGGCAAAATTGATTTTACAAAACAGGAAAAATCTACATACTTGATCCACAAATTGTTTGGCATCTCCAAGAAGTTGAAGAGAAAACTGCTGATGCCCCAGTGGTGATGCTTCAGTGCTGGCCAGCACTTTTAGCTTCCTGTCAAGTCTCTCAGCTATTTGAGGTTTTGATGTAACCGTGGCATAGGCCTACAGGAAGGATATTAATTGCACAACACTACACTAAAATGATTGTAAAATGTTACATAGACTATGTATTGATAGTACAGTCTAATCGTTAAACATAATAATATCATAGATTTGTTTTCAACGTTGGTAATAATATAACAGCAACAAAGTGCATTAAAAATATTATTTACTAACATTCATTCAAATATAAGTTACATCTTACCTGTTCAAAGTACCTGGCCCAACCATACGCTCTCTCCAGGTCCTCCCTGGTCCAGTCAGCAGCACCTGTTCCCCGTGCAGATTTAAGTATATCCAGGAAGATCTGTGCTTTTTCCACCAACTCATCCATAGTTGTCAAATTATGTATGATTTTGTACATAAATTTGTAACCTCCAAAATTCAACCTCCCTTCTATATCCAAGCCCGAGCCTAGTACATTTTGATAGAATCAGAAGAAACAGGCGTCCTTTTCAGTTCCCATTGCATGTTTCAGTTGCTCTTAAACTTCTGTATTAAGAAATTACATATCTATACGACAGTGTTTCTGCACTAATCTGTTTTTCGAACTGACCGCCATATTTCCCGCGATGACTGTACCACACTTATTCTGGGGGACCGGTGAGGTTAATTCATATAACATAAACAGCAAGTAAATCTGTCAAAATATTTTTCTGAAGTTGATAACTATATTTTACAAAGATATGTTGAATTTTTGATCTTATGGAATTCTTTCGTTTTTATATCGAAGCAATATTGCTGCTACTGTAATCCAGGGAACCCTCGCCTACAGTGAAACATTCCATTTCACGCGGAGCATGACGGTACACAAATACCTGCCAAAATGGCGGATTCTGCAAAGTTTGAAACAGACTTTGGTCCATTTTCTTCGTTTAGAAGCTGTTTATAAAAGGAGAAGCTATTGCAAACAAGCAGGTAAAGTTAGTACCGTCCATACGCTACCTATGAGACAATTTTCATTGAGTGAATAATTCGCTTTACAGTGAAATTCGTTTTTTCCTAGCTGATCGTACCGCCCTCCCCAGTATCGAACCAGGGCGGGGACCGGTCCGCTTTGTAAAATTTCTCAAAATTTTGTTGCTGCAAACTTCGGTCAGTGAAGTGATCATTTAGGATGGCGAAGTCTCAACAGAAGTACAAGCTTTCGGACAAAAACAGACAGTAAGTAGGAATCTTGTGAATTTGTACTATAATATAAACATAGTATAAATTTTATTAGCCTGTAGCTAGGTAGCAGATGTCTCTTGCATGTAATTTTCCGCACGGCATTCCCTGTCCCAAGGGACTACGTAACTACATGTAGTGACACTGGAAAGTAACAAAGGGTGGCAAACAATGCAAGACAATTTCTCTTATGTGATAGGACTATCCTATCACATTAGGAGTCTGTGACATTAGGAATTTTTTTTCTATACTTGAACCCTTGAAGGCCTAGGCTATTGAGGAAACCTAAAGATCAGCTCCAGGCGCATTAAAGAATTGGCCTACAAGACCTATGTACGCCCCATACTTGAATATGCGGCGACAGTCTGGGACCCTCATTCCCAACAAGACATTGATAGGCTAGAGGCAGTTCAGCGCAGAGCAGCACGTTTCGTGATGAGACGTTACAGGCAAACGTCAAGTCCCACAGAAATGCTAGAGGACCTGAACTGGCCCAGTCTTCAGGCCCGAAGAAAGACAGCCCGACTTGCCATGCTATACCGCATACAGCATAATATCGTCTGCACAGATGGTCTTAGGGGTAAACTACAGCCTGCCCCAGTACGTGAGAGAAGGGTGCACGGCCAACAGTTTGTACAGCCAGGTGGTAGGACCCAGTACCGTATGGCCTCATTTCTGCCACGTACTGTCAAAGAATGGAATGCTCTGCCTCAGACAACGGTGGAAGCCACATCCGTTGACACCTTTGTGTCTAGGGCTTCCAAACTACATCAGTCTTAGGTTGGTGACCTCTCGCCTCCTTCAACTAAAAGTGACAGAATGATCAACTTGATGATAGCGGTCACTTCAACTGGAAGAGGAAGAGGAAGAGGTATTGATAGGTTGTCAAATTAAATAAGACTGTCAATAAGATTTTTTTTCACCATGGTTGTTATTATTTTCCATCCCAACATTTGGCTCAGACTCAGTCAGAAATTTTCTATATTGCACTCTGGTACAGTAGCGGCATTATTGATTTGGTCATGCCAGAACATCTGTGTCAACGTGTGGTATTTCTGTAGATCCTTATTAAAGCTTTACAATAGGACTGTAGAGAGTTGGGCAGGAAATTGGGTTCCACCATGCTTGGATGGAGGCCAACCTGTTGTACTTAGTTTGTGCCGGTTGATGTACAGCCTGTCTGGTCGCTTGTATTGATTTTCCATTAGTTTCACTTGTTTTTGCAGGGGCACCGTCTCAGGTTTTGTCTCTGTCACTCTGTTCTCCCATTTAACTTGCAAGTCCTTTTAAAGGTAAATGTTTGGAAACTCAAACGCAATATTTGGTAGTGTTTCATAATGAAGTGAAATAATAATTTAAATAAGAATACATGTAAATTAATGCATATTCACGATCTTGAAAAAATGGTAGTGGGCCCTGTCAATGTAAAATTGTTAGCCAATTTAAAAAATTGCAAGACAAATATCATTAATAAATGATAGTGGTTATTCATGATGCAAGTATTCTTACTATACAGGTTTAGAAATACATGTACTTCTCTGAAACCAGCAATATTCTGATGGTTAGTGATGATTCCTGGTGTAGATGTTTAGTGACACTGCCTGTCTGTGTGCACAGGTTGGTGATGAACCTGGCCAGAGAGAATGAGGAGTTGAGCAGGGACGTGATGAAGCTCCAGAGTGCGCTGGACATGCATCACAGACAGGTCGACTCCGAGAACAAATCTGTACGCGGCATGATGAGGTGAGACCTGCGCGTAATGGCCTAACCATAGAACCAGATCTGGAGACACTCAGATATAGCTGATTTCCACAAAGAGAGAAGCAATCTCCACAAATCTGGCGTATTCCCAAGTTAACATTCATCACTCTTGTGCATCTATTGATGAATGTGACAGACATCTGAATCACTCTAGATAGAGTACAAAAGGAAATTAAGTTACAAAAGGAACTTCCAATTGAATCTTATTGATGTAGATTCAATGAGGAAATGGAATTTTACATTCCATTGCAATCTTGGGTGATTTGTTATACATGTACATGTATATCCTTGTCCTGCTGTGTCCTTCCTCTAACAACTATGTTATGTTTGTATGTATTGGCACTGAAACAGATCATCATACGTGTAGTAAATATAAGTCAGCCTTGACCATTAACTTAAGGTTGCAAGTTGCAAGAGTTGGTAATAGCTACATGTAAATGATAATTATGAATTTGAGAGAAGGGTATTGGTACTTGGGATACCAGCAAAACTTACAATCTGATAATAATTTCTAACCAAGACTTTGGTTATAAACGAGCTCATAGAATTTGCTGGAAGCACTTGGCAGGCATAAAAGTAGGACAGACCAATTGCTGATGCACAATATGTGACAGTGTAGGTGTCAAATTGTCAATATCTATAGATGGGTCTTCTGGGTTTATGTTCATTTCCTGTGCAGGAAGTTTATGGCAAGGCATTTGCTATTTTATCATTAATCATTTCTATAGCAGTAACTATATAGGCACTGGCAGGCATGGCAACCAGAAAAGCTGGAGTATACATAATCATAAATCCCCCATACTGTTTATCGATAGAGCATAACTGCAGATTTCAAGACATGATATATAATAGGTACTGTGTGAGCTACGTTTATTCAGCCTGGGGTTTAGAAATGATGCCAAATTGTCAATACGGAATAGGAGTGATAACATTTTAATGAAATGCTGTGAGGCACTTGTGTTTCCATGTGTATTGATGTACAAAAAGCTTTTATCATGACATTATTAATTATAATAAGTTGGCTTACAAGCTCACATTTGTTTTTTATTTCATGTCATACCTCAGTGGAATTACTTATAGTAACATTAAAACTGTGCTTCCCTCTACCTGACATAGGCACAATCTAAAACTCATTTGGTATTACCCGTAGTACCACTGTGTGTCACCCAATATATATGGTGGCAGTAGAACAGATGTGTCTACTATTGACGCAGTGAAATGATGTAATTTACCAGTACAATGCCATGGTCACATAATGACAGCAATACTTGGCTGTTATCCCAAATCATTATATTTCAGGTCTGTATATACAAATTAATGCTGCCAACTGGCCAAGGAAATCTCTTTGTGAGCCTATTCAAGAGAATTATGTGCTGTAAAAATGTTTAGGTTGTAAATCCGTAGGGTTTCAAGTGGTAATCTGTTGGAATTCGTTTGATTATGTGTGATTACTGATTTGTATTTTTTGTGTGTGATTCTACAGGAAGGCCATCAGCGGAGCTAGGTGGCAGACAGGAGCGCAGGGCAAGCTCACGACCTTCAAATCTATCAGCGACATTGAAGACGACGTCCTGGGAGACATTGAAAACAGCAGGATGGAGAAAAAGAGAGCAATGAACAAGAGACCGCCCTCCGGAAGGCAGCCGGCAGCTATCAAAAATTCATCAGTCCCAAAGGAAAGCACGTTATTACACAATCAAGGCACAAAAGGAAGTGTTGGGAGGGAGCCAGCCGCTGATCAAGTAACTGCTGCAGGCAATGACAAAATATCTGAGAGAAAGCCGGTTATTAGGGACAACATTTGTGAGAGGGAAACCAGGCACATAGAGGGACAAAACCCTGCACTGGGGTTCATTGGTATGGACGTGGCACAGCCTAGTAAAATCCTGAAGAGGCCAAGTTCAGCATCAGGGACAAGGGGACAAAAGGCGGGAAAGCCCAAAGGAGTTCTGATTGACAGGAAGCACAGACGATCTCAGTCCACGCAGGGAAAGGAGACCGGTGCTGATAATGTTGTCAACGGGAAAAGGCAGACAGAGAGCACGCAGAAGGTGTCTTTTGACACGGAAGTAAAAGATGCAGAGGAGGAATCAGAAGAACCAGAAGTGCAGATCGTAACAACGGGAAAGACGTACCAAGACAGGTTAGTCAGCATGAGAGCAAAAGTTTTAAATGACAAGAACAATGACCAAGTTCATAGTAAGCCACAGCACTACATGAGCAAAACCATCAGTGCAAAATTAAAATCAAACTCTGCACCACCAGCTGCAAGTAACAACCATACCAGGAGAAGAGGAGATACAGTTGTAAGGTCAGAGTTCATGACCTCCTGTGACCCTGCAGTTGCGGCATGGCTGGCCAGTTTGAACCTGATGGAACAGGAGAAATATGTCAGGATTTTTGCGGAGAACGAAATTGACCTGGAGGGGCTGCGACTTCTGTCGGAAGACCAGTTGGCACGGATGGGGGTCACGGCTATCGGCGCGATGAACAAGATCATGTTTGGGGTCGAGCAGCTCAGAAATAGTTTTGATAAGGCAAAGGAGAAATCTGCAAAAACAGTAGAACCAACAGTAGAGAGGAAAGAGACAGTGAAAGCGAAGCCTTTCTCAGCAGGTGTGACAAGAAGGCCGGCAAGTAGTGGTACAAAAAGCGTGGATGTGGTACCTAAGGAGAGGAAATCTAAGAGACCTGTGTCCGCTGATGTTGTAAGGAGATCGAGAGCCGGTAGGTTTCTCTGCACTTCTATAAACTATTCGTACCTACCATTTTAAAGGTCATAAAACATGTAATGATATACTTAGTATTACAGAATCATTTTTATGAAGAGACTATTACGGTGTTTGTCACTAATGTGCATACTTGTGAAATGTAGTCATGCACCTCATGTGTTATCTTATTCATAGGTGTGAAACTGGCAGCACAAAAGGCCAGCCACAGACAACAGGAGGAGGAAAGGCAGAAAAGGCAGAAGGAGAGAATGGAACAAAGGAAGAAGGCAGAGAGAGACAAGATGGCTGCCAGGTTCCTGGAGAAGAAGAAGGAGGCAGAACTGAGGGAAGAGATGACAGCAGAAGACAGAGGGTCCAGTGGTGCCTCCAACTCACCTGAGAGTACCATGGAACTGGAAGATATTGGTACAGACTCTGTTTCCATACATGTAGCTGTGTACAGTGTTACTTGAGTTACTTTTTACTAGATTATCAGGATACAATATTTGCTCTGGTTCTAAGAGTCTATATACTGGTAGAGATGTGTATGCAAAGCTAGAGTCAGTATTCTGATTTTGGCATTCTTTTTTATGATTTCAGACTTTGTCATTGTCATTGTTGATACATTTTCTGTCACTAAACCTCAGGGCTGTTGGTTAGATGGTGAGTAAAATCAGTAGTCGTGTGATGTAAGAAACTGATCACTACCATTTTGTTTCCACAGAGAGTAACATCGACAGTAGCAGGGCAACTTCCCAGGCCAGCACGTGGTCCAGAGAACCCCAGGGGATATCCCTGACCCTGGAGGGGCTGGGGCTGGGGAAGTCCACCCCCAGGGGTGGGGAGTCTGAAGGCCCCGACACTGGGACCAGACGGGATCCAGGGGGCAGGAAGGACCCAGAGCACAGACCAGACACTGGCAGTAGAACTAACAGGTCTGGACAGAGGGAACATGTACCTGCACCTGTTGATGTGGAGTTACAGGTAAGAGCAAGCCAAATGGGTCCACACAATTCCTGTCCCTATATGAGATAGCAGCAGCAATCCATTATATTTTATCTCCTCATTTCAAACAAGCTTGTTACTCAAAAAACTAACTTAAGAAACAGATGTTTCAGGTAGAATCCACTACTACGGTAAGATTGATTACTCTCTTCTTATGTAAGTATGTTTGAAATATTATTTATTACTGTTGTAAAGGTGAGTGGTCTGCAGCAGAGGGGAAAAGAGAATGAACAAACAGCCCGAGAAATCGTGGACAAAATCCAGCGACAACTGGAAGAAATCCAGATGGTCTACAAATCCAAGTCACCAACATCCCCGCATAACATGGCCGCTCAGAGTCACGCTGGGAAAGACCCCGGGGAGGAGATGGATGTCCCTGAGAGCTCTGGGAACAAGAGGGAAGTTGGGAGTGGCAGGTCTGTTGCCATGGCAACATCTCCATCCAAACAGGACCTGATGAGACAGCTGAGGAAGGAACAGGACAAACATAGGAAAGAGATAAGGTGTGTCGTGTTTCTGACAAATACTAGTACAAAATGTACATGTTTGTGTTGCCCTGACTTTTTGATTTGTACTTACTAAAAGCACATACAGTTACAGTAGCTGTAAGTAGTTAATCTCCAAAGCAGATGTCGCGTGGCAAAAGCAATACGATTAGATCAAACTGGCCATGTAGAGAGAGTCCTCAGAGAACAAATGGTAACTGTCTGGCAAATGGATACTGCCTGGCCACCTGATAAGATCTGCTTGGAGGTTAGATGTAACTTGTAAGTATCAATAATTTGATGTTTGTTTTCTCTTCAGACATCTTGAATCAGAGCTGAAGAGGTTGAAGTTCAAAGACCCTCTGAGAAGCTGCCAGATTGCAGAGAAAGACATCATCTACAGCACAAAGGGTTTGTATTCTAATTCATGTACATTACTACACGTTTACCTTGATACCGGGGCATGTTCTTTCGAAGTGAAGAGTATTTCTTACTAAAGATCCAATGAGTTAGTGGTACAAATAATGATATGTGTGTTCACTATGCAGTTTATATCATGTTGAAAGCCTGTGTGTTGATCAGATTTGCTAGGTGAAGGTGCGTTCTCCCGTGTGTTCCGCGGTGTCTACAATGGTACAGAGGTGGCCGTGAAGAGACTACGATCTCCCCTGTCTGCTGCTGACAAAAACTACTTTGGCGCTGAGGTATCAGAAATCTTCTTGTGGATCTTCTTTTTTCTTTGATGATAAAGCAAGAAAACCACTTTATGTGGAGAGACATGTATTTGGAAGATGTGTATGGAAGATGTGTTAGGATTCTGAATATGATTGCAAGCCATGTACACTTTTGATCCAACACAAGAGATTCTTCTCACCTAGAACTGTTGACCAGTCAGTTTGAATATGTGATCATATGATTTTGTGTGAAAAAAGTTAAAAACTGCACTTCCCAGGTGAGTCTCCTGAGGGAGCTGCGTCACCCCCGTGTGGTGCTGTTGCTGGGTGTGTGCACCGCTGCAGATCTCCCCATCATGGTGCTGGAGTACATGGCACAGGGCAGCCTCTACCACTGGCTACACGGGGAGAATAGGTACAGGACGTACACTTTCTAACTATATGCTGAAGGTAATTTACATGGCACAGGCCAGCCTCTACCACTGGCTACATGGGGAGACAAGGTACAGGACTGGGAACCACTACAAGATCTATTTATACTTATATACTCTACTCTCAACAGTTCATATTTGATTGAACAAATTTGTACCATAGACATATTCTCTGTTGCACTAAATCCATCCTGTAGTAAAACAGGCTGAAGAAAAGTTTCAAACGGGAACTCTGTGGCTCCAGATGTCTTACTGAGGGATGACTGCTGTGTGAAAGATGTCGGTTAGCTTGAGGAATGAATCCAATCTACCACATATCATCCTGTAGTAAAAGCACAGTTATCCAGGAGTTGTACCCCATAAGAGTTGTTGCACGCAACATTACATTATTGTGTTGTAGATGTGCTACACTCAATGGAATATACTGTGTATTTTTCAGACCAGACCTGGACCATGTGCTGTATTACCAGATAGCGCGGGACACCTCCCTGGGGATGAACTACCTCCACAACAGGAAACCTGCTGTCCTCCATCTGGACCTCAAGTCCATGAACGTGCTGCTGGACTCACAGCTCAGGGCCAAGATCGCTGACTTCGGCTTCTCCAAACTCAGGTGTGGATCATGCCAGTATTACTGCCAAGATTAACTGTGTACATACATGTAGTTTGAAATGATAATCATGAATAAAGCCTCCCAAACTCAGTTATGTTTCTGTGACATTTCATGTGGTCCCCAGATCTGCTGATATTGGCTGGTCTGTAACATTTTGAGGTCTTGCTCTTGTAGTCTGAAAGTAGACTTTCAAAACTCAACCACAACTAATGTGTACTTGCTCACAACAACATCTGTATTATACTGGATTTTAGCATTATAGTATGTGGTTGTAAAGTCGTCCCTCTCCCCATGTATGTGCAGACATGATGCGGATGTGAAGGCCTCCCAGTCAGGACACCTGAGGGGCACACCTGCATGGATGGCTCCTGAACTCATCAACCAGGGAAACATCACTACTAAGGTAAGGACAGGGATATTTTCATGTATAGTAACCATAATATGATATGTATGTGAGTATTTTTACTAAGTTATAAAATAAATACTAAAGATATTCTTATTTCATTCATTCAATTTATTTTTTTCTCCCATCAGGTTGATGTGTACAGTTTTGGAATGATTCTATGGGAAATGCTGACCAGAAAACATCCCTACCTAGGCCTGTCCATGTTCCAGGTATGGTACTGCCTGCAATCTAGCCCCATGCTGTAGTGACTCTAGAATTCCTAATGTAATTCTAGAATTCCTAATGTGAGTCTAACTTGATGTAGTAGATATACAGGCCTTGCTGGTATACTAGTAGGTTAAAGCTCAGAAAGTGCAAGTCATTGTTGACATTGCCATGTTTATAAACTAAAAAATGAAAGCAATTAAAAAACATTTCTCCTGACGTCTGTCCTATTTGAGGTGTGCCATGAAGTCTGTCTGTACTTGCAGGTTATGGAATGTGTGAGGTTAAACCAGAGACCAGACATTCCAGACTACTGTCCCATCGGTCTGTCCAGGCTCATCGGGCTGTGCTGGGCACACAATCCTGCAAGGAGACCTTCCTTCAAGGTATTGTTCTGTATTTAAAATCTAAATTAAGACATACATTTCAGACTGTTGTGGCTCGAGTATTTGCTCTTGAACACTAAGTCTTATTGCTTAACTACTGTTAAGGTGATTGTTTCAATGGAATGAAGTTGTATTTGCTGATAACATTTTTTGTATCCAATTCCCCAGGACATTCTGATCTCCCTGGAATCCCTGTCGTTCCCTCCGGAATGGCGGTCCCTCCTCTCTGCTGCTGGCATCCCCCGCCAAGCAATGGAAGATGCCAACTCGGCTCAGCGAATCATTCACCTTGTCTCAAACTCGGTGGTTCTCAGCAGGGAGGATCTTGAGAAAGCTGCTGTGACTGGTGAAGTGCCTAGAAGTGATGATCAGGGATTGGATACTGCAGCTGCCAAGTTGACCAATAGCAATACAGAACATGAAGAGAGGTTTACCACTGGTGGAAACCCTTGGGCAGGCACGAAATTAGATCTAGACTTTGGAAGTTCAAGCGATGATGAAGCTGCTTGTCAAGGAAACCATGTTGACAAACATGGTGTCAGTGATACTGCAATGGCTCAAAGCCTGACCAAGAGAACGTACAAAATATTGAGCCCCAGGAGAGAGGAACCGCACAAAGTACGGAAATCAGTCCACATACCTAAAATGTGGAAGGGCACATGGGTGGACAGTGAAGATAGGCCGGAAGTTGAAGCCTCAGATTCAGGATCAGAGGACTCTTTAGAAGCTAGCATCCAGTCTGCAAGCAGAGATTCAGATCCAAAGAGTGTTAGAGACACAGGGGCCAGAATGACAGGGAAGATTGTACCTCCTCCCCCACCCCCACCTCCTGTGGCTGACTATCAGAAGCACCTGCTGAGGACATCCTATGTTCGACCTGAGAACCAACAGCTTAAGAATAAGGGACAGCAGTCCAAAGAGAACAGTGTCGGTGATAGCCAAGCAGCAGCAAACAGGCACAAGAGAGGGCCTCCAAAGACAACACAGCCAATCATACCTGGTAAGTATGGGAGTAGGAGAATAAACAACTTTTTCTTCTGAATTTCATGCAAATTCTTTATTGTGAGAAAGTGTAATCATGGTTTATCGTCTTCCCAGTCTTGCAAGTGTTCAACACCCTTGTACTTCAGATGTCAATGTTCAAGTATTATCATTTAAGCATTGTACTTTAGTTGAACGTCCAGTGTTTTGCATACACGTGTTGTTTGTGTTTGTTTCAGCGTCCGTTCTGCAGGAGCAGAAGCAGCGGCTGAAGCCAGTAGACCTGACCCGCCCGCAGGAGCTGCCAGACATCAGCAGGGTGGGGCAGGACAGACTCAGCACCATCGCTGAGATCCTCAAAAAGGTACAGAGACACATGCCAGGCATTTAGTACATGCATGTGTACTTCTTTTGGTCTTGCAGGTGTGGATGAGTACAGTCGTACCTATGCTGAGCGGTGTAAAGTTAGAAGGCTTTGCTGTTCATCCATGGTCTTTATTTTTTATTTTTACTTTGCTACAATCCCAGTTTCTTTATCTGTAATTCTTCTGTATCAGTTTAGCCGGTACATTGTATAACCGCCCTTTGGCGTAACACACCAGCTTCATAACATAATTCTTATCGATTACAGTTCTGGTTTTTGGCAGTTCTTGGCATTTTATTAATTTAACGATCATGATGTTACAGGTATTACCTATCATCCTTTCAATACCATTGTTCTTTACCAGTTTTTAGATACTGACTTGTCATCTGTTGTCTGCCCTTCAGGCTGTTGGTGAGCGCCGTGAGGCCATGAACATGGCAGACGACATCCACAGCATGGAACAGTCCTACTCCGCTGTCTGGTCTGTGGACAACTGACAACCACCTGTCCTTCAGCTGGCTTCATTCTGGTCACATCTACCCTGCTAAGTCTGCTATTTTGGGAAAGCTTGGAAGATACATAGAATTCAAAAGCACTGTGTAACATTTTGAATTGGTTCGATATAAAGATGTCCAATGTATATGATCACACATTGAGATAGGGTTTAATGTTTGGTATGGCTCCATTCCATGACAATTTGCACAGAAATACGTGTACCTACTAGAGATTTGTCCACAGAGAAAGAAGTGCCTGATTTAACCGTGAGTGGATCTATGGTGATGGTCTCTCTTGGTTGACTTAATTGCAAAAGATGTATATTTTATAGTTGATGTATAGATACTAATTACCATTCCACAGTGTGCCAGCATGTATTCATTTGGCAAGTATTTCTTAGATGTGGCACTTGTGTGTGTCATATTTCTTTGTTTACCTCAAGCCTTCATGTAATGCATAAAACTTGGCATATTTGTTGCCTGAGAGGTTATAATATTGATATTTGTTCTGTATTTGCTGTATATTTTCGAAGAATAGGGTTAATGGTCAGCAAGTTTTTGAGCTGGTAGCAAATATTTGTATATTAAGTTTTTTGCTTTCACATATTGCTGATACATGTATATCATTACCAATGGTTTACTATTCTCTCACAAATACATACAGTGGTTGTTGGACATGCGACTGAGAATATTATATGACAAAACATTCAATGTTGGCCAATAGAGCCTATTCTGTACTGTTGCTCTGGGAAATACAGATATTGTTGGGCTGGACAATCTTGCTTCAGTTCCATGGAAGTAGGGCGCAAGTAAGAAAATTTCTCATCCAGGGCTGGGAGTGCAGAAAACAATCATCATTATCCTCATAATTATGGTGCAAATCATACATGTATATATGTGTCCCATGTACAGTGAAGTACTATCAATTCAACATGTCATTTGCTGATTTTAGATTCAGTCTCAGCATCTCAAAAGTTGCACTTAATAATGGTTGCATTTTATATTCTATCATTTGAGTGGAATGTCTTCAGACTAGCACTGAGACTTGAGCACTTGGTGTCTTGGCAGGAAACTGGGTGTGAACAACTGTAGACAGGAAAAAGAAATGTATGAAGAGAAATTGTTCCTTACGGGTGAACAATACAAACACGGAATGTAACAAAATCTTGGAATTAAATATGCTGTTTGGAGTTCTTTACCTTGAGTATTTGCATCAATTTGTGTGTTTCTATGAAAATGTTTCTGTAAATTGTTAATGTAAAATGACTATGCACATTATAAAACATGTTGCTTTCACACTGATTTCCACTCAAACAATGGTTAACATCTTTTTAATTATGTGCTTAAACTGATTGTTACAATAAAGTATATGTCCACTTAACTTAAATACCACATACAAATATATTTGGTGTGCAGTAATTCTATTTAACACTTTATCTTTTGGAATACAACACAGCTACGAAATGAGTAATATGCTGAAATCAACAAATGTCTGCATCAAGGAACTGATTCCAGTTGACAGCTTTGTGAATTCTACAAATAGAACGAAAACTATTCAGGGGTTAACTTGGACCTAGAGCATCATAGTGTGCCAGTGTTAATGTGGTACAGGATAGCACTTAGATGCAACAGATCTAAGCCAACTTGACATTAATCAGGTGCATTTTCGTTAGTTGGTTATGTTAATGTATCTAGCACTAACTTGGCACATGTACAATTGCGTGGTCCCTTGGCAATTTCCTATGTCCACTCCTATAATAACAGTGCTAGTACTTTGAGAAGTCCAATGGTTTTTACCCTGTGTGATACAATGATATATAATGATGCATGCAATTGAATGCAAGGATAAATTCCATTCCAAAGGTGCCATTCAAAAAAATTCTTGATTTAGTACACAGTAGATTAATAAATTTTAATTTTGTTTTACTACAGGATCGACAATCTAAGATCTTTCTCTAGTACATAAATCCGTGTGTTTTTTGGTCATTAAGGCTTGGACTTGTTCAGTACATATTGATATAATAATATTATGGTATTTTTTATGATCTCATCAGATTTCACGGGCCATCTTAGCGACAACACAAGTTTCCCCTGGACCATTGATTCTGCAACTAAAAACCAACACGTTGAAGTTGCATGCCTTATACAAACATAACTACATGTAAATACTAAGGACTGGTATATGAATACTTGAGAGGTTTTGATACAAAACTAACAAAACACATACCAACTACATGTACCATGTCTGATAGCTGTTTTTATTTTTTTCATCATCATTTCACGATGATTGAGCAAAACAACACTACTGGCTGATACAAATCTGAACATTAACTTGTTAACAGGACATTAAAACTACAAACAAATGTTACTAAAACAATGTATATAGAGTAACTATGTACACGTATCTGTCAGTGAATCTTAACTCTTCTGTGTTTCAATTGGTAGAAATTTTCATAGCAATTATTCTATTTATCTGTTCACTCAAGTTGACATAGCATGGTTACATCATCAATACATTACAACAGCACATGACTGCAAGCACTGATGTCACACAGAGCTCTAACTTGGTGGTTGTGATTATAGACATTCTTGTACACAGCACGACAAGGCTGATTTCCAACAACGACTTTCAACAAAGTTACTGATTTAAATTGACACTGGCTGCCGGATAACCTAGCACTATGTGAAGAAGAATGCCTTCCTACATACATATATCCATATTTAATCTTCTGTATCACTAGAACATCTATAGGAGAAGAAAATAGGCTTTAAGATGTTCTTGTGTCAGTTTTTGTCTGGAGAGTCCAGAATGATGACTGCATCGTCGTCGATTCTGCTACTGGATGGCTGCTGCATCTGGAAGGAGGAAAAAGAAAATTTTTTAATCTATTTACTGAAAATGGCTCATATACTAGTACTAGAGTAACTTGAGTCACCACCTCTACTATATTACAAAATGCTATGTCTGAATTCTTTGATGCTAAACCAAACTCAATCCTGTACAAGACATTTGGATAACACAGGCTACTGCTTGCTTTGCCAGTAGAGTTAGGTCTAATGCAAAGGACACATCAAGTCGTAGAACAGAAAATTTACATGTTCTATCCTAAATCTTTGAATCTGTCCAATTTCACTTTACATCTAGGGTGGTGAAAGAACATACTGAAAGAAATCCTCTCACATTTGCACTCCCGTTGCGCCTGCTTTCCTGGATCATGGCAGCCAGCGTCCCCGGTTTGGCTGGCTTGGGAGTTTGCAGTGACTGAAAATAGAAAGGATGTCAGTAATCAATGTGTGATATGAGATAACATGACTCCAAGATAGAAACCACGTGATGGAACATCTCATGTCATCAATAGCATGCCATGGCAGACATTTATAGCCATGTATTGGCACTTCAGGCACTTTTTACAAGAACTTCTTGTGGTTTTGCCAGAATTCGCTACTGTTGTGCCATCAATGACTTTAAATTTACAGACAGGCATGTTTATAATCACACAATGAACACCATGTTGATGTGAGGGTTTACACACCAGTTTTGCACCACCTGCCAGCATGGCTGCAACAGACTTAGGCGGTCCTGCCTGATGCTGGAAAAAACAAACAGACAGAAAACAATGTGTTAACAAACTTTGAGACATAGACAACCTGATAACTTTTATAAAAATTATTTAAAAAAAACAGTATGCAGTATGGCAATCAGGAGATACCATACAAATAAAACAGAAGACAAGCGAGAAATAATTTCTCCCAAGAGTCTAAACAATTGTATAAAAATCTGCCCCTTCTACTAACATTTTGTACCCAAACAGGATTTTTTTTGCTGCCAGTGTCCCCCCCCCCACCTGAACCTAACATTTCTTGTCCTATGTTACTTCCTAGTACCTTTAATCCCTGAGTTTCTGCTATGAATGAAGCTAGTATTTTAGAAGGGTCACCAGTGGCTTTCTGCAACATGAGAAGACGAGGGTGACATGGAGTGAAGTGTGAAACATAAACAAGAACTGTGAATAAAAAGTACAGCTAAATCCCTAAATGGTATCAGCAAAAAAAAAAATTAAAATGTGAGATAGTGGTGTGTTTCTTGAGTGCGTTATGAAAAAAAAAATACTTTGACAGAAAAGGAAGCATAGTTTGTGAGGATGTGTTCTACTTGCTGTAGTATATGTAGTTCTCAATCCCACCATCACTATGACTTTACTTACCTGTGGATGGACCAGAGCTTGTACCGCAGCATGTTGTTGTTGACAAAGGGCTTCATAACGACGGATGGCCTGGAGAAAGACAGCAAGATAAAAAATGTGATGTTAAGCATGAATATAGTAACCTTTCTTTTTTGTTATTTAGCTTTGGAAAGATACTAAAACCCTATAAACACACTTATAATGTAGCTGTGGTATTACATGCACAGTTCAAACAATCCCTTTAAAGGTGGAGCATTCCCCCTTTAGTTTTACACTGACTGCATTATACTTACAGCTATTCTCTCCTCGTGCATCTGCACCTGTTTCTTCTGTTGTTCCTGTATGTACACAGCTCGCTGGGCCAGGGCGTCACGCGACAGGTGGGGGTACCGCTTTTGCTGCAACACCAGGACAAGAGACATTCAACAACTGAATACAAATTTAACATTAGAAAAACTTAAAGCTCATGATACGCAATCCTTGTATGATGCCATATTGAATTTTTAACATGCACTGCAGTCAATACTAAATACTGGTAGACTCTAAGAGTCCCCGTGGCTTGCTCATGGCTGTGACTTTAAAATTCAGGCAGAAATTTTGCCTTAAAATTATTTTCAAGGAAATAAAGAATGACTGAATGAAAGACCTTTATTGCACGTTTATGCTCTTACAAGCTAAGTACAGGTTCTGGTGTAGTTCTATGAACAACAACAGTGATATAAGAGTCTGGTATCTTACTAAATGTACAAGAACTAATGTAGAAGTCCTGACCTGATCCAGAATGATCTCTGCCAGTGACATGACCGGCTGAGGCTGGGCTCTCTCCATGGTGATCTGTCGAGCCATGTCCATCTGAACACCCAGCTGCTGGCCGTAGTTGAATGCCTGAGGAAGAGTGAAAACCAAGGCGGTCAGAGATGGCAGACTTCATCCCCTCCCCTATTTGCAAGCATGATTGCCCATGACATGATTGCCCATACTGCTTTGTGTAACTAAGACAGACACATAAACACGTGCACATGAACGCATGCACGCACATATACACATACAGACTAGCTCCATACTATACTTCACTTGTGGGGTGAAGTTTTAACTAATTTTGCAGAGGATGCTACAGGAACTACAAGCTTTTTAGTTGACTTTGATAAACATTTTTCACCAGTTCGGTTAAAACCCTTCTACACCTTTTAGAGTACACTGCAGTGTTTCTGCAGCTCTTGGGCCACACAGTTGTGCAAGCACTACAGCAGGGGGCTAGTCTACAGGTAGGTTTTTTGCTCGGGGGAGCCTGCCCTTCACCACGGCATAGGGTCAAGAGACAACAGACTCACATGTAATGATGTGCCTGATACCTGATGTCCGGCCTGTATGGCAGCCTGCATCTCTCTCATCCTCTGTTCCATCTGGAAGTTGTTCATCTGGGTAAAGCCCTGGAGCCGAGGGTCCTGGTACGGACCTCTTCTCTGCCAGATACCCTGGAAACACAGGCACAACATTTGGTCAAATTCTCTTCTTCTTAAGCTATCTATGGGATAAAGGATGACAGGTAACACAATTTTGGTAAAAGTCTCTTAATCTTTTGATTATCTGCCTATATGCTGTGTAGACTGTTACGCATTTCATCATCTTAGTGACTGTTGTTCATGTTTGTTGCTTATTTTGCACAAACAGTTCAGGCTTGTACGTTCAGTCACATCTTACATGTTTACAATGTTTACTAACACAGGAATGAAAACATGAAGCAATTTTAGAACTGAACTGTAATATGGAAAGAGATGTGTCCAACCTTCTTCTCATTCTCGTACTCCTCCCAGGCTGCCTTGCGCTCCTCCTCTGTGAGTGTCTCGTCCTCCTGGTTCTCGAGAAGCGAGTCGTGCTCGTGGTAGTCGACTATGAAGTCCTTCTGGCTCTGCAGCAGGTCAGCCAGAATCAGGTCCTGACAACATCAAACACGTGATAAACATGGGGAAAATCTTCATTTCAGCTCTGTAACTTGAACAAAAATCTCTGCAAAGAACAAGTCATAGAAGGCTTGTTGTTGCTAGTTACAACTTTAAGTTAATGTCATGCAAACTGTTAGCATGGATAAAGACAACTTGCAGTTAAACTTTAAACATGATATTAGACATGTATTTAGTAATGGACCAGATCTAGAGTAATGCCTGAAAGCACTAGCAGCTCATTAAACTGAAGGACTAAGGTTAAGGTTGAGATTTCTGTTGCTACACGACTTCACAGGATCTCAACATGTGAGTAGTCTGCCCAAGTCTGGTGTCAGTTCCTCTACCAAAGATCTCGACCTGTACTGCCACATGCTGCAGCATTCAAGACAGCCAGGGATTTTGCACTTTGGTTTGTCTTACTTCACATGCAGTGCTGTTACTTTGTTATTTATACTATAATATAATACTATATATCAGCAAATCTTATCAATGTCTCCAGTTGCCATTTTATATTTATTTACCATCTACCTAGGCTAAGATTAAAATGCATTATCACAGTGCTGAGAGTTAACATTGCAGATGCCATGCATAAGTAGCTTGTTATTACACAGGTAACTCCTGTCACAGTAACACACACTTAACTCACAATTTAATAATGAACCTATAGAAACTTTGAACAATACAAGTTTGCAGTGAAAGCAAATGTTCTGAACTTCTCTGATTGATGATAAAGAACTTGATGGGACCAAACAAAGATACATCACACTTGCTGCAGAGTTGTGTATGATACACTAAAAAGTCAAACCATGTCCGTACCACAGGCAGTTTGGGTGTGGGTCTCTCCTGTCTGTTCGGGTCGTCCAGTCTGTCAGGGGTGAAGTTGTACAGCTCTGCTAACTCCCCCATGGTGAAGTGTCTCTCGATCTGGTGTTCATCCACCACACGGGCAGACAGGGACTGTTTGGTCACCTGCCGGTCATAGATCTTCTCTTCCATCGTACCCTGGAATGTAAAGTCTGTTAGTACCCTGTGCAAGATGGAGGGACAGTCTAGTGCAACATCTGGGCCCTGCATGGCCCAGAACTGTCAGACTATGACGAGAACGGGGCCAGTCAAGGGAGGGGTTTCTCTGCAGGAGTGAAAATGCCCTGGAATGAGGGAGTGAGAGTGCAACACTGCCAGCTTTGAGAGTTAGACTATCATTGCAGTAAATACTTAATTGTAATTCTTGACTTTTTCATGGTACTTTTATGTTCAATGTACGCTCACTTCTGTACCATGAACTTATCGTTACCGTTATCAAATCATTTGTCTTTCATCCCCCTCTCCCGCTAAGATTTAAATTCCATGAACATGTCCATTTTTCTCAGACCTTGAAATTCTACTACATGAAGACGAAGTGAATGACACTATACATGACATTCATTCAAGAAGCACACTGCCAGAGTTGCCTGCCTACCTGTGCGAGGAATCTGTAGACGAAGACGGGTTTGTTCTGGCCGAATCTGTAGACGCGGAAGATGGACTGCACGTCATGGCTGGGGTTCCAGGAGGCGTCGAAGATGATGACTCTGTTGGCTCCGACCAGGTTGATACCCAGGCCACCGGCGCGCGTGGAGATCAGGAATAGGCGGGCCCTGAAACAAGCATGGATCTGATTAACCTTCAGTGTACCAAGAGCCAATGTGCCACATGTAATGAAGCACATTCAACCCAATATGTGAAAATGTATAGCATGGATTAAGCAATTTGTTTACCTATGAATTGGTCGAAAAAAGATAGGCCACAAACAATTGATAACAGTCTACCCCTAAGTTCAACAAGAATAGGGATGAAGTGACCACTACAATATGAGCGATCGCTATGATGTCACAGCCAGCTAGTGGTAGGCAAATATTGGATGACGGTCGGCTGATTTGTCTACCAATTGTTTGCACATGTCTTCAAATATTTTGCATGTATGTGATGTAAAGAAAAATAGTGATCGCTTGTGTTTGCTGCATGTTTGTGAACCAATTAGATGGCTTAAACCATCACAGGTAAGTATATAGGTAGGTAGCCAGCCAATCAGCACAGACCTTTCATTATCCGTGGAGTTGAAGATTTCCGCCCATCTCTCGCGGAGTTGGGCGCTGGTAGACCCGTCCATGCGGAAGTAGTCCAGGTTCCTGCCCCAGCCGTACTTCCCGTTCATCCACGTGTCAGCCTTGGGGTCCTCACTCTGGGCCAGGCCGTCCAGGTACTCCAGGAAGTCTTCTATCAGGTCCAGGGACAACAGGCTCTGACTGAACACAAGACTAGACGGGGAGGGTAACAAAATTAGTCATAGACATTGATAGTAACAAAGATATAGAATACAGTTTTTTTGCTAGCATGTAAGTTGGTGAATTATATAGTGAGAATTAAACTGTCACAGTGACATCAGCACTGCGTCAAAGTTTGTCGGAAGTTTAATAGTACAAGTGCTGACTGGTAGCTCATTAAACTCTAGGTTTAAGACTAAGGTTAAGGTGAGATTTCTGTTGCTACACGACTTCACAGGATCTCAACATGTGAGTAGTCTGCCCAAGTCTGGTGTCAGTTCCTCTACCAAAGATCTCGACCTGACTGCCACATGCTGCAGCATTCAAGACAGCCAGGGATTTTGCACTTTGGTTTGTCTTACATCGCATGCAGTGCTGTTACTTTGTTATTTTACTTTAATGAACGTCTTATTTTTATCATTGCCATTCTCTGATCTAACTAGTTTAATATTAATTTGCATTATTATGGTGCTGACAGACAGTTAACACTGGACGTTATGAACCATGCTATAGTGACAGAGATAGCAATATTCAGGGGACCAAACAAACACATCTGACTTACACTTTGTCGCCCAGTTCCTCTGCCTGTTTGAGGATGTTGAACA